TAATGTCAGTATGTAAGATTTATTGACCATTGGATCCTGAAGGACACGTATCAATAGTCAAAGGATGAAGACAATTTTTAAATAATTAACTATGTTGAAAAATTTACGATCTAAATGTTGAAACAAAAATGTATTATGTTTTTGAGCACATTGAATATAATTTTAATTTAACTAGTAATATGTTAAATCAAAGTAATATCTGGTAATATGTTTTATAAAGACCATTTCATAATCCTAAAATATTTACCTGTCTTTGAATAATTTTGCATCAATTATTTTTTTATAATACATTTATATTTAAAAGTCTATTAATGTCCACCGCTGTCTTTGGAAATCTAGGTTTTTAGCCTTGAATAAGAAGAGTAGTAATATAGATAGATGTCCTGCGTTACTTGTACAGCACTTTTTATAATGAGAAAAGGAGGAATGAGGAATGTTTTCATAATGTGATAATTTAAACAGTGAGAAAAAAGAGGTGTGACTATGACCAATAAAAACTACCTCTAGGCTATATTTGATTTACATAATTCCAAAAAACTTACATATCTGCCCCATATGACATGTACGATATTTAAAAAAATTGTATAACTTCTTTTAGTTAACCATGGATAAAAATAGGAAACTAAATAGATAGCATTGATTGTAGTACGATTAGTTTGTTCGAACTTGAGCCAAGAAATACTGCTATTGACTGCCCGCATGAAAGGAAGCTTATTATAATGTATAGGGGTGGATAAGAGGCGATAAACTAAAACAAAAGGGTTAATCCAATCGTTTCCTTGTTAGGAAAACAATCAACTTCATAATAACTCGGAACACTATATAGATATAATACCCCTGTCACAGCAAACCTGCAGACTAAGTGAATTTCGATTTGCATAATGGATTTTCACAAAAGTATCTCCTTAAAAATGTCATAATTATTCCCTACTTAAATAACATTAGTACAACGAGTACTTAGGTATAGTGCCACAGGGAAGGTATAAATACCCCCTCCACAGCAAACCTACACTAGTGGATTTTCACTAAAACATTTTCTTATGTCATATTTATTCCCTATTAAATAACTTGGCTCCATTTTGTATAAACCGTGTATGTATTTATTGATGAAATCGATTTCGGATTTCATGGACTAACTTAATATTTTGGATTTGAATATGGATCTTGGACAACTAGTAATCCCCAAACTACTGTTTTAAGACTGAAGACGGACAACGCTACGTAAAATATTATATATGTATATAAAACAAAAACAAAACACACTTGGTTTGCGAACTCATTGATGTTTAATCCATGTGTGAAACTCAAACTCGGATATAAAAGCGTGCAACTTTTAAGAGTTCTCGGAATCGTCTGAAAATGTTAACACTTAAAATTTCATGAAAGTTTAGTGTAGAATTGACTCAAAGGTTTTTTGGCCTTTTTATAACTACAACTGAACCTAGAAAAAAATCAAATGTTAATACAGTATAAGAATAAATTTATGTCATACCTTAATTTTTTCAAATTAAGTAATTGGTTTTTTATATTTAATCTGGGCAAACCTGATACATTGTTTAAGCATTTCATCTTACAATTTGTATAACGAGTAAGCAAAAATTAAAGAATAGTATTTTAAGGCGTAAATAAAAATGGCTTTTAATAAATGCCATAAGATAAATCAAAGTCACAACCACATACAACTCATACGAGCTAAACCTTAAATGGTTTGGAGGGTTCTTTTGTTTCATTAAATTAATTTATTAGTCTCCATATGCCCGTCATTTATCACCTTAAAATGGCATAATTTATTTTAAACTAGCTTACCCGTCGTGCGTTGCCGAAACTTTGAATTTAATCTAACTACTATTTTACTCGACTAAAAATATAAACTAGATTTTTTAATACTTAGGCCTATTTCATTTACAGATGTATTTTACCAGATCTATCTACATTAACCTATATTTTATTCATTGTGACCCTTGGTGGGAATATATCATAGATAAAATAAAAGGATTACCTTTTAGCGAATTTCCCTATAGGGAAGTAGCTATTACCGTAGGTGGCACGGTAAGACCTAGACCCGGGACCGATTTACTTTTTCATTTTGATGTCCCCAGAGGCCAAAAACACCATTCGTTCAAATTTTTATATATGTATATATATATATATATATAGACTTATATATATATATATACGTCCGTGAACGCGATAACTTGAGTAATTTTTGTCCGATTTTGATGAAATTTAGTTTAAAGGTGTAAAGCGGGATAAACTTGAATGAGTTCGCGAACCAGCACGATCGGACCATGGGAACGGGGCTTTACAAGGGGTTTTATGGGGTAAAAATTGGTTTTTCTCACTTTTGACCCTCAAAACACAAAATTTCCCGATTTCTCTTTAGACCTTTTTAAAGAGCTTAAAAAAACAAATAATTTAGTATGTAAAAGTATTTTTGTTCGATTGTTAGTAGGCCTAACGGAGAAAATTAAAAAAATTGTAAATTTAAAATTCCCATGTTATTCTTATGGAGAATATTGTCAAATGTTGTAGTTTGCTTGTTTATGGATATATTTTGATCAAACTTGGCAAATTTATTTATTTTGTACTAAGCTATCAATATTTTACTCAAAAACACACTTTATTAGTTTCCTTGTAGCAGCAAACCTAGGTACTCGTTAAACCTAATGTTATTAAAATATATTTAACTGAAAATCAATTCAGACAAATAGAAATTCGCTTAGTCGGCAGGTTTGCTGCGGCGGGGGTATTTTATTATTCTATTTCTACAAAAAGAGGTTGGCGGCCTCTTTTAACCTTGCATTTGCCCGTCCACATAGATTAAGCGCCCGCCCGTGCGTGGATCGTTTAGAGCATAGCAAGGAGTGAGCCGGTACAGTACAAAGGCCAACTGTACTGATAAATTTTAGTGGCAGTGACCAGGATCCGACCCACGACACCGCTGCCTTGAACCCGAAGTCCGCGACGCTACCGACTGAGCCACCGACTCGCTTCCTTATTTAACCACAGTTGTTGGTATGACAACTAGTTCCATTCCTTAGAAATTCGTCAGGTCATTGAGTATGTAATCACATCATCAATGTATTATTACATTGTGGTATGACAATAGATTCTTTAAAATACTGTCAAAATCATACTAGTCAAAACTAGTCATTTTGATCAAATAATTAAAATGGAAAGTAGGAATGACATAATTACATTAAGGAAGTATAGGATGACTCAAGTAAGGAAAGGTTCAGGCAAAAAATAGCTCTCTCAGTCAAATAAACGTAGGAATTAAGAGATAGCTAGAATATATATATATTAAGAAAACCCCACAAAAGATCCAATAATTAACGTGAAAGATAACTGGAGTGGATGAAGTATAATTTGCCTGACTTTAAACTAAACGAAGGGAAGGATAGGTAGTTCAGAAGAAGGATAACTAACCCAATTTCCTAGCAGGATGTAATCACAGACCCTGTGTCTGTCTGAGCGTCTGTACAGCCAGTGATCAAGAACTCTCTCAGTGGTATTTGACTGAACAATAATCTTGTTGGAATAAAACCAACTGCTGTCCATGTTAATATTATACTTATCAATATGGTATTATAAAAATTTATGAGCCATATAAAAAAAAAAAAAATAATTTGTGACAGTTGCTTGTTAGTATGAAAAATCAGAGAAAATATAAGTAAAAAAAACTCTACTTTAAAGCAGTTTTGAAAAAGGACCAAGGTCGTAAATATAAAGTATAATTAATGTAACAAATAAAAAAGAAATGTGGGTTTTAAAAACTAAACTCATTTTTTTAAATTAAACTCTACTAAACAGCTTGAAAAAGGATCGATATGGTAAAAATGAAGTAAAACTAGTGTAACAAATAATATCAACCGATCTAAGTCAGGTTTGGAAAAATCGTTGCTTTTAAAAGGGGCTCCCGAGATTTAAGTAAAGTAATTTTTCAGGTGGATACATTATCTTAGAGCTTCATCTTTGCAACATTATTTCTCCTCAATCTTGGAACCGTTCCAGGTCCACTAACATCATAATATGTTGACAGGAAAATCGAAAAACTTTGATTATCAACAGTTTAGTTGGTCTAGTTTCAAATATTTAGGACAACACTTCACACTCAGGAGTATTAGTAGTTTCAACGTTTTACACAACACTAGTTTTTATACCCCTTCATTTGTTACTGATTTGTTGTTGATTTGTTACTGAGTTCTTTTCATTTTGTAGTCCAACACATCCTGAATGTATAATACGAGTAGAAATGTTAAATCTCGCAAGGATTGTAAAATATCATAAAAGTTTTAATTTACTAATCGCAACACTCACAGGGTGGAAGATAAAGAATTTGAATAAAAACATAATTGGTTTGAAACTTGATAACAAAATACATACTTCTTTAGTTGACACACAACATATTGAACTGTTTGTTGGGACACGGAGTTCTATAATAACTACAAAATATCTTAGTTATTTATTCCTTGCGTGTCGAACAGTTATTACGAAAGAACTATTTTGTTTTATATATGCGTTTTGTTTATCCAGCAGGTGTTCACAACCCTTACATAAAATCACATACCTATTTGATAAATGAAACTGCCAAATAAATTGTAAAAACGTATATAACTGCAAATTTAAAAGCTCCACTTCAAATGAAAAAATGAAATATTGATCAAGTTCTAAAGCTATATTGAAATTCAAGTTGAATTTTCTACATTTTGCTATAGCCAAACTTCTGTTAGTGCATTTAACAATTTCAGTATAATGCGTGTTGAAAGGTTTACAGAGAGACGTACTAAGATAATAAGATTCTTAAAATAATAAGATTGAAAATAATAAGATTCTTCAAGCTTTAAAATATTATAAACATATAAATAAATATGACCTTTCGGGTTACTGTAAGATCCACTTGACCCTGAGACTTTTTGAGATTAAACGTCTCAAATTATCAGCATCACTTGAGTGCCCCTCTCCAATATTGAGATATGTAAAATCAGTGCATTACAAGAAGACAAATAAGATTAATGCTAGCAACATCTTCTATCTATGGCGCCTATAGTAGCAATTGTGACAGTTTTATTATTTTTTTCCGCTTCAGGTAAGAGGATTCTAGTTTTGTGTGGTCTCGAGTCACTTTTACAATACCTATTATTTAAAGAGAATTCTATTGCTTATAGTTTACTTTTGTTTGCATGAAGAACCAACCATTGCGTGCTGTTTTCAGGTATTTCATTTGAATCTTTATTATTTTAAAGACTTTCTTAAACATCTAGAAATAATTAAGATAATAAGCCTTTGAATCTTCCTAAACTTAGTCCTTTGGTTAACAAAAATTTATGATTAGTAACATTAATTGAGTTAAGACTTCTAAATTTAATTCTCATTACTGTGCTAAGTTTTGTATTTATTCTGAGTAAAGTCAAGTTTAAGTTGTAATTCGTTAACTTTACCAGTCGCATTATCCGTGTAAGGGAAATTAAAGTGGGGGTTTGCTCAATGCTATTACTCATTATTTCATATTATTGTTTCTTTAGCCAAACATTCATTAAGGAATTCAATTTTGTTTTGAGCTATAAAAAAAACTTAAAAAAATATATTTAAATTTAGATCGAAATACGTTTAAAGTAATTTTATTAGGGGAAAATATGTATAGAATATGTTTTGGAATTGTTATAAATAATGGAAAATAACGATGCAATAACCACATACAATTAAGATTACAATTAAAACTTTTGAATAGTTGAGGTAGTTTTATATTTCCAAATTTACTTTATTCATATCTTTTAGTTTCTTCAAAGAAAATGTAATTAAAGTTACGACTTGGCCAATGCAAAATGTTTGTAAATCTGGCTGAATAAATTACTTTGACTTTGTTAATATTAAACATTTGTATTCAAAAGGGTCCAATTGTCAACTATTAAAATACTGATAAGGAATATCTACAGCCGGATGTCCTTAACTATTTGATAAACATACGTAAACAGTTCGTAGCTTTTACCTCAGATCAACCTTTTTACTACAATGTGTATCCTGTTTTAAAATTCCATCACAGCCTTCTTAGCTATTCTGTTACAGCAGCTCAAGTCACACACACGTAACTACTTTTTTTGTAATCTCGTGTTACTTAACATATAAATGAGAGGTTAATTTACCCTAATATCGTATTGTAACTCTTATATCTTCTAAAGTTAGATGACGATCGTTTCGGCGACTATGTCACCTTCAGATCTTAGTCAAGAACATAAAACTTCACTCATGAGGTAGTCGAAACATTAAATACACAAACACAAACAAAACATGAGAAGAAAAACATAAAACATCAGATACTGTGGCTACAGGTATATATTGCTTGGTTGACATATCTGGACATGTAAATATGTGAAATTTAAGACATGTGAGAATAAGAGCCACAAGACAATACGAAGGCAAATAAACCTCTTATTTACAACCACGTATTTTTTCATTTATGCAGAAAAAAATTATTTACATAATGACCTCAAGAGTTGCTTCTGAATGTTTTGTGGGTGGAAAATGAGAAAGTGATACCGCAGTGAGAGTCTCATAATCAATCTCAAAGATGAGTAAATGTAAACATTTGTTGCAGATGCAGCATCTCATGAATCGTCAGCAGTATTTATTATAGGTGGCAACTCCACTGATATAAAGCAACACCCGTATCAGGTAAGATTTCGGTATTTTGGTGATTGATGTTACGAAAATCGAGAAAAGTAAATTGTTTGTTACAAGTTTTACCGAGATGAACATTGTCACTTATGCCAGCAAACGTGTTTATAACTATTCGAAAATGTATAGACCGTTCCAATGTAAAAGTTTAGCCTGATTAAAATGTTATACTATGAGAATAGAAATATTTAGTTAAATATTTTCTAAAAATGTATTAAATATTTTCTAAAAATATCTTAAATATTTTAAAAATATATATAAACAATATATATTTTTATTGTTTATATTGTTAATTTTTTTTAGTTAAATATCTTTAGTTAAACATTTTCGTGAAATCATTATTTGTTAATTAGTGTTTACTTTACCATAAAATCCTTAGTTACATGGGTCCTCAGTATAATAATATCCATTTTTATTACGGACTTTTCCAGGTAGCTATATGGTCTAACAAGGAGTTTCGTGGTTCTGGAGCTCTAGTGACTAAACACTGGGCGATCTCTACAGCTTCTATACTAGTTGGGTGAGTTTTCGTACAACATTTTAACATAAATGCAGATATTTTATACCATAAAAGTATTTTATACCAGATTCATCACTACACAGTTTCAACTTTTTAGCTCTAAAATAATTTTCAGGAAAGAGTAAACATTTCAGGAGGAGTAAGAGGAAATACTTAACACCATATTTTATAGTACGACCTGTATACTTGTATATTGTTAAGTTTAAATACGACACATTAATTCCTCATTAGCAACACCAATCATATAATTAAAAGAAATTATTAATTTATTTGGCGAAGTTAAAATTACTCGTATAATTTGCAGATTGTTGTTTTGGAATAACTGGGCTATTTGAATGATATACGATGAATATGTGATCCTACGTAAGAAATAGACTTAAATGACTTTTTAAGTTGAGTCGAAACAACTTTTCTACAAAGCTGAAGTATGAGGTGCATTTTGGTCATAGCTGTGTAAAGCACTTTTGAAGTGCATACAAGATAAATCAAACATCTGATGCAGATTAAGCATTCCTCTTGAACTGTAAATATTGATAAGCGAATTATACTTCTAGGTATTTTAAACAAATTGACAGTATTTTTCTGTAATAATTATGACTCACCAACAATTGTCTAACTACTGTCAAAAACTATTGCGTATATATGTAGTTAAAGGTTTGATAGCCAATTTGTTTTCTGTAATTTTGTCGTTAGCACTACGGATTGTTAAGCCAAGGCAGCGATATCTTTATCGATCACCATTCCTGAACCGGATCAGTTCGTCATGATACGTTTCACACACAAGTCTTACAGGCAAACTGAATGTTAAAGGGCTCATATCATTCAAAATGTGAAGTATTTTTTATAATAAACTAAACTAGTTACTTCAACCAACGCAGGTTCGATGCTGACACCCTCGTCGTGCGAGCTCTTAGCAGCCTGGCAGGTTCTGGAGGAGAAGTGTTCAACGTCAGCAAGAAGCTGATCCACCCAAGGTTCCGCTTCAGCAACATGACCTTCGACGTGGCGCTGCTGAGGCTGAGGAGGCCTTTTATGACGTCATCGTCAGCTGATAGTGTGACGTCACTGTCGACAATCCCATTGGCTCGCACTTCACTGCCGTTTGATAGCACAGCTGTACTTTCTGGCTGGGGTTCAACCACGGTGAGTGAGCAATAGGTTGATAAATCACCGATAACTGTTCTTGGGTAAATGTTTCTGGTGGTTGTTGAGCAAAGAGGTGACTAACAGGACTGTGTTACTATGTTAGAGTAAAGGTCAAAGACCAACTGGGTAGCCTTGTGACTGCAGAGCTCGTCTTAAAATGATTGTAATTTATTCTAGAAGGGATTGATTCAAGACCCGGTCCCTATTTCTCCTAAACGGCAATTGGTGTCTAATAAATGCTGGAGACTGTGATAATGTTGTCCAAGAATAGGCGCCAGTATAAATGCACCGTAACGAATCCCAGTTTTGCATTTTTCCCTATAAAAGCGTAAATGGTAAAAAAGCTTCAGAACTTCATTTTAAGAATTATTATTTCTAATGGGTTTGAAGATATTAAACGGGAAGGTGACGCTTATGTTCTATGTATTGTAGTAGAGACCTTGGTCTTAAATCCAGAACTGTGGGTGTGGATAAATGAGTGAACCCGTGTTCCCGAATAGGTAAAAAGGCTTCAATGATTGACTTTTAGGGCTACTCTTTGGGATTGTGTAAATACACAATTGCAATGACCAATGCGCATCCTATTTGGTTTTGTGATGTGGAGACCTTCCCGGGTTACTTTATACCAACATTATTTCATTGACAACTCACGAAAAATACGTCATACTGAAGGTTTTAACGGACAACAGAAAAATCCTTGTAATATTAGTGTGTTGATGAACTGACGCAAGTACACTGTACTGAAGATTTCATCGAGTGATTCAGTAAGAAACACTTTTTTATATTTCCCTCTTATTCTGGAGTAGAAAGGTTTGGATTTTATGAAAAGGTATGGAAAGATAGGCTTTAAGATTAAAAGGTAAATATATTCAATTAGTCTACTAATTGTATTTATATTTGGAAAATCGCACATGGAATTTCGAGTGTTTCTCAGAATCCAAAAATCCTTTGAAATTAGAACCAATGCAAATTTAGTGCAATAAAGAAGCTTGTTCTTTATTTAAATGTAACCAAATAGAACTGGAGATTGCCGTTAGCAATTGAAAACTTATTAAGAACTTAGAATTGTTTTCGTAATGGGGAATAGAATGCATTTTAATGTCAAGTACAAGTAGAATATTTTAGGAAACTATCTGAAGAGTGATTAAAAGATGATAATTAAGTACTCCCACGCTTAAGCTAGCTAAATAATAATACCAATTAGATACATTTCATTGCTGTGTATTATGGTTCTTTACATACTAAAAACTTAATTCAATTGTATGTAGAGTAGACTCTTGTATGCTGATCGATACCAGAAAAAAAGAATAAAAATGTATTTATTTAGATGTAGAACAAATATGATCTTATCTTTGGTTATAATTTCAAATTTCATACATTTACTAATATGGTTAAAATACTAACAACGGAAAATCATAATTACTAAACGTTACACTTATACATATAGCCTATCACTTTAGAGCAGATACTCAGTAAACAAGAACCTCGAGCAATACGTAAAGTGTAACTTATCCACGGTTCTCTGAGTTTCGTTTCACGCTTCCAGTACTTAACTATTTGTGCAACGTTTAACATCAAAGTCATAAAATGTCCATGAACTTACAGAAGACGGCCAAGATGTCAGATCAGCTGTTGCAGACGTCGGTGAGTCCAGTGTGTTTGACAGAATGTCAACAATCATACGAGAGGCGATTGTTGCGAACTGTCTTCTGCGCCGCAGCTGATCATGTGTACGGGCCTTGCTGGGTAAGAATTGTAATAATGAATTTCAACATTTATTTGCTAGTTAATTAAATATTTGTTGAATATACATATTTTTTATCGAGTGGTCGTGGGGTTAATATTATATTAATATTCGTGGGGTAAATATTATAAATTATTATATTTTATAATGTTGTCGATAATGATACGTTTGCAAAATCATACAGTGTGGTAAGTGTTGTACTCTCGTTAAACAGCTGTGTGGAAATAGTTATCCAATTGAAGTCGTCACTATACGTGATTTAATTAATTTTGATATCACGGACGATTACTTAATGTTATACATTAGAAATGACAAAATAGCTGTTAACAAAAACCATCTTCTTTATTTCATTCATCAAAACCACACATTAAACTATTATCTGTTATTGACATTATTCTTAGATTAAAGTTGAATATCATCATAGACTTTATATCTACACTATCTAGACAATGTGTTGATATAAAGTCAATGATATCATGCAGTTGGATACCAAGATATGCCCGGCCGTTGCAAGGGAAAATTTAACAACATCTGGGCTGTAAATAGTTTTTTATTTTTTTTTTTAGAAAAACATTATTAATCATATCACAACAAGTTTTGTATATTGTGGGCTAGTTTTAAATTGATACTTAACAATTATTCCATGAAGTTTTGCATATTTTACAGCAAACCAACTAGGCTGTATTTTCCACGAATATGCTTTACACATCAATTGGCCTGGTAAAGTAGTGAGCAGGATTTTATGGCCACCCCTCTTGATAAATTTATTCATGCTTTTCTGATAAATTAATTAAATATTTTTTTGTGATCAAAGTACTTATATTTTACAATAAAGTAGATTTAATTATTCCTTGAATAGTAAAAAAATAAAAACTATATAAAATCGCAAAGCTATGCAATAATAACATTATTTGTGTCAGATTGTTTTAACGACATAACTTTGTTGATTATGTATAATAATATGAATATTATCGGGTTATATTTTCTTTTGAATGTCTTAAGACTATGGCTTGTGTTTAAGCGAACGAAACTTTTAATGGTCGTTTAAAATAGCATTAACGCTTTCAAAAGTTGCCGTGTAAAGTTAGTTAATGGCTTTTAGTAGTTTTAATTACACAGTGTGCCCCCTGGAAAGGGTATGTCTAAGGTTTAAGGTAAATAATCGTTGGTACAAAAAGTAAGAGTCGAACCGATTTCTAAATCATATTCAAGTGTATGGCCTACTATGGTACTCTAGTAAAAAAAAACCTTAACAAATATAAAACGGAACTGTAGCAAACAAAACCAATGTAATAGGTGAAAGTTAGAAACTCTTAACATAATATTTAGGTATTAGGTATTTTCAAAAAACTATTTTTTTTTCAGCTCCTTCCTCTTTAGATAAATTAAATATTTGTGCGGCTAACATTTTGATTATGGAGATAAAGGGGAACACTTTTAAGTTTAATAAACTAAATTTAACAAGGATCCTTAGAAAGCCAAAGTTAAAGGGCCAACACTAAGTAAACCAACTTACTGAGCCAAGTCGTCTTCCGATTGGTTGGTAACATCACAAATATTTGTTCCCTGGCGGTTGTTACTAGTTTATCCTGTAGCAGTTTGTTTTACTACTGAAGGAATTGATCTAGCAATCGATCTTGCCCTTTTCAAATTACTATTTTCTTTAGTCAATCGATTTGCTTTTAACAATACGTTTGTTCAGATACTGTACTTAAAGTAAACTTGTTAAACGCATAACCTTATTTCCAGCTTATAGAATCTAAAAACTTCCACTTCGCGATTACTTTCTCTAGACCTCTTCGTGCACTACAACATCACAAAAAATACTCAACATTTTTATCTTTGACTGACTAAATCACATGCAGATCCGAAGCTGTGGGGGGTAAACCTCCGTTAAATGTTAGAACCAAATAGTAAATTAAACCCTTGTCAATTTATCGTTCCATACCGTTACGACAATATTATTCTCGTACTATGCAAACAAGAGATTTACCAGACAAAATACTTAGAATATTTCTTAAGAATAATTTCCCTCTGTATACAGGGTGACAGTGGGGATCTGCTCGTCTACAATGGTAAGTTGTACGGACTGTTATCGTGGAACCAAGGATGCTACGACCAAGCAGTACCCTCAGTGTTCACTGATATACACAAAGTCCGACCCTGGGTGTTCAGGGCTATCAGGAGGCACTCTCATCAGGAATTGTAAATATTACAACATACATCGATACTAATGGAAATATAAATTGTTTTAAATACAGTAGAAGAAATGCCAATAAAGATTTTTGGTGTCATGTTTGTATAATTGTATAATTATTACCACGCAAGCATAATGTATCTGGGGTATCAGTTAGTATTTATCGTCGAGGTAGTTAGGTTTTAGTTATATTTTATTTTAAAACCATGTGAGGCAAATTCTGGAAGTAGTTGTCATTTGTCAATGGAAAAATGTGTTCTTACAAAATGTTAAACTTAAATACAGTAGTGGAATGAATAGGCCTGTTTCTCTACATAAAACCTACTGCTAATGGCAAGATTATTCCAAAGGAAACACACCTTTAGACCTGGCGATACTACTGCAGACGAAGAAAACTGTTGATCTGTACAGTATATTGAACCTGTACACAAATTACAATTCAAATTAATGTAAAAAAATGAACCGATAAGAAACTTTATAAATCATAATATATACTTGAACTGATATTCAGTTTTATAATACATACAATTTATTATTGAGATAAATTACCATTAAAAATTGCATATTAAATTTAAAACTTTTTAAAGTAGCAGTTTAACTGGTTTTCAAAATTTATATCTTTGTAAGTTACCTGATAAATACTCTATGATACTACTATGATATTCGAAAATTAGCTAAAACAATCAGTGAACAAATGTGCTTTTGAAAATAATAAATGGCTTTTGTTGAAGAACCAAACAAATTGGAAATTATAATGCGAAATAGTCTTTTTTCCACTGCTTAGTATTCTATCCTGAAATATTTAGATTAAGTCTTGGCGATGATAAATGACTCTTTATCACCTTCATTTGAGTTTTGTCTCTCAGAATTGAATTTACAGTGATAATCGTACACATTTTTTAAAACAATGGGTTTGACAACCCGGTTTGGTAAGGTTTTAAAACAAAATATTATAAACAGCTTGTATTAATGACGGTATAGTTAACTTTGAACTACGTATGGTATTTTTAATGAATACAAAACTTTATGAAATAACAAAACCATATACTGTATAAATACTGCACCATATTGTAGTGTATAATTAATCATGCTTTAATCTACTATAATAATTTTTATGATAAATTGAATTTGAAGGCAACAAAAATTTATTTTGAAGCACTTCAAAGATCTCTAAGAATATAACATGAAAAATTATGTATATAAAATGTACTAGTTGAATTCAGTGGAATAATACACATCGGGACGAATACGGTACACATTCTAAATCAACCAAACCTTTTTGAACCGATTTTAGTCTTAGTTAGTCATAAACATATTTAGTACACTGTACTCTCATAATAACAGTTGTGATATTGAATATTAGTTCACTTGGTTAGCGATGGACATAAAGAGAGTAAGGTTACTGAATAGTTAAACTAAAATGTACAATGAACTATCTGAGATTCATGGAACAGTAGTTCGGCAGCTACACTAAAGTCTTCACCAAATCAAAAAAAAAAAAAATCTTAACGATGTGTCAAAGACCTATCCAATCACGTTTTAAAATATTAAACATAATCAATTCGTCAACGTCAACGTCATCAATTCCACTTCAGAGAACAGATTACAGACTGTTTACCATTACAGAGGCGATATTGAATGTTCAGAATGTAATACAATCACAGCTTCATCTGGAGACGAGGGTTGGGATTACAGCTCTGTATTCAACTGATTCACACAATACTGACAGTGGACTGTGTTTGGGGATGGGCTATAACACGTATCACATTTACCTGACGTAATTTTGTCCCCAAAATACTGTATTATATTTGTAACGTTGTTGAAAATGTTGTATAGAGGTCTTGGCAGTTCTAAATGGCAGCTAAACTGCCGTCAGCTTTTCTATGGTGAGTATTGAAGTTACAAAATAAAAGATACATAGATATCGATCTGAATGTACAGAATATGGAATCTAAATCCTAGTATGATTTACGCACATTGATGAATGAATTCAAATTTATCGTACGCTAACAAAGATCCGATTAGTAAAATATCCCCTTCGCAGCAAATCTGCTGATTAGCAAAATGTCAATTCGTTTAAATAATTTGCTAAAGGTAAAAAAAATGTTGAAATTATTCTTCCAACAGTAGTACTGTATAGCTAAAACAATACTACCCTAATTATATGAATGTTATACAGTAAATGGTGCTGATTATTGCTAACAAAAGACACAGTGAGCGCAAGAGAGGTGTTTGACAACACTCAAGTCTAATGTTGTGAACTTGGAAGTCAAATACTACAAATGAAGTTTCTGTCTTTGGCGTGTGTTGAGAAACTCGATGCATGAAACAGAAACAGATAGTAGAAACTTATATGTTACTTATTTGAGGCACAACACAACTAATATTAGTCTCATTGTATCTTATATGTAACGGGTTTTTGATAATAGTAAGGGCGGTAATACGTTTAAAAGCTACACGTAGGCCTACTGGTTTTTAGGATTGAATTAAGTACTTTTTAAAATTTGTATGCAATATTAAGATAGTTTAATTAATGTATAACTATGTACACAAACACAATATTGAGCTGGGAAATAAATTTCTCTAAAGGTTGACTGTAGCTGGTTGAAACGGTAACCACTAAACCCCCAACAGACGGTTAAAGTTTATCAAACCACTAAGCTAAGTGGTAAAGTTTCTTTTTCAAATTGAGCATTACTAATAGTGTTATTTAAAATATTAAACACCAACTTTTTCATATTTCTTTATACATATTTCACATTTTTTTCAGCCTACTTTAACAGCATTTTAAATTAAATTATTACCGTTACACTGAATAACAAGATTAGATTTGTATACATTCGATGGACAAATTTGGCATTACCATCTTCTTCATAGTTTGGAATCTTGTGAGAACATAACGGAGACAAAAATAAAAGTAACAAACAATGAAAGTAACAAGTAGATTTCGTGTTCTCTTGGATCAAGTACTTCATACCGTCTGTCTTCTTTACTGTCACGTCTGTAAACATACGTTGTGTATTTTGTATTCTGTGTCTGTTCAAGTGTCTTACACCTAACGCATTTATACTCTCAAATGGGATGTGGAAATGTACAAATTTATTAGTTAAAATATTTATTTTTACTAAATTTTTAATAGTTTTAGTGAAGAATGGTGATTGATGCCTGAAAATCGTAAAACAAAAATGAAGAGAACTATGGAAGAAGAACGAATAATAGGGAAAGGAGAATAACGAATGACATTTGACGAGTGATGAGTGAAGTGACGTAAGTGTGAAGATTGTAGACTATTTTTGACCCAATTGGGGTAACAAGTGGGGAAAGAAGAATGGGGAATGTAGGTTAATCTATGGACAAGATATTATTCCCTTTGCAGCCTAAATCATACATCTCAAACTCGATATCGTGTTTACTATAGAATGGTGTATGTGAATGTTCAAACAGTACCACTAAGTTGTTACATTAATTTAACTATGACGGTCACCATTGTAAAATATAGTGATCTAATGCGAACTTGAGTTTAACCACATAACGTGGATGTTCAACGTGATTGTTGTTATAGCTAAGCTCATCTTTATCCCACCAGGTTTCAAATTCCACCAATTACCAAGAGGAATAGCTATCTAGAATATTTACATGATAGCTCTCTCCATGGAATGTAAAGTAATATGGTAATTAATTAATCTACACGAATAAGCCCTTTTCAAGACATTTTTTCATTATTAGATAGTTCCCAAGGTAAAAAATTTCAAATGGTGGAAAATCCAATATTTATAAATTAATGTAAATGCTTTGGGCTTGATTTTCTTGGGTAGGATTATACATGGGATTTTTACAACAATTGACCATCTTTTACCATATTAGCTTAATGTTAAAAATTTCGTATAGTATTAAGTTCTTTTTGTCTTACTGCAGCAAAATCGTTTTTAGCCCCTAGGGAGTAAAAATCAGCTGTAGTCAACTCAGTTGTAAATTTCGATTGTAAACAATCGCATGCATCGAAAGTATATTTCGATTGTTTAATCAATTGTATCTTATTGTTGCCTTATTGTTAATAGTTCGATATATCGATACACTAACACAATCATAATTGACTAAACGGTTGAATCCCCTAACTAATCAACTACTTGTTTCCATTAGCAAATTAAATTGAAAACAAGTTAGAAGTCAATTTTGAGAAGTTCATATGAAAAATATTTTAATGTTGAATCATACTTTGTTCAAATAATGGTGCAATATGACGAAAAATATAGTTCATCACATAGGCAAAATGTATCTTCACAACCCTCACTCATTTTCCGACCACGGCTTCGATCGTAAAACTTGGGCTAGAAAAGGGTCACGTTAAGATAAAATATACTACAGTGATGAAATATACTATTTTGGTATTACATTGTTAATTAGTTGATTAGGTTAAAAACAGCTGGAGGACGGCCGTTAATGTGATGAGGGAGTTATGTAATATGATACTGAAATGACTGATCAATTCCTAAATATAATCGCAAAGTATCACTTTATGTTTCGCGAAAATACTTTTTATTGGGACTAGTTTTCAAAATGTATTTACTGTTTTTAACAAGAAATAATCGTAAATTTTAATTACAAGAGTTCTGTTTGGCATATTTCCAACCATCGTAGTGTTGTCCCGGCAAAACCAGAAGCTGAAAAGACAGGAATATTAACAGTCAAATGTTTTAGTCTTTACTCGGTATGCTGGTAGATATTTGATATGAACCATCAAAGTACAAACCTATTTAAAATATCATAAATTGTTCGGTTGATTGTTCCAAAACCAATATATTAGAACATTTAAAATGTTTATTATTGGATATTAGACCTAAGCTTTGGTAACTAACAGTATGATATGTAATGGGTCAAAATTATAGAGGGGTTAAGTTTTTATATTTATTATTTAATTATCGGTAGGCCTATACCTTACCTGGTTGGTGACAATGGTAAACCTATCATGGTAAGGTAAATAGGCTGTTTTAGGCCTATCCTAGGGTTGAGTAGGGATAACCTCACTTTTGGCAAAATCATTAAAGACACTATTTTTGAGATTCACAAGTCACAGTATTGCATCGT